TGCTCTGGGGTACAATCCTGGCTGATATTTTATTAAAGCTCCAGGTACTTTCAATATCAGCCAGGACTACTGCCCCTAATCCCAGTGTCCTGCACAGATGTGTCAGAGCATAGAGGAAAAAAACCTGAGAACCATTAATACAGCAGTTCAAGTGTGATCTGCAGAACAGCAGCAGCATCACCTGGGAATTGAGAAATGCAAATACCTGGGCCTAACTCCAGACCCACTAAATCAGAAACTCTCAGGGTGTGACCCAGCAATCTAGAGTTGAAAAGGCCCTCAGGTGATTCTGATCAAGCTAAATTTGAGAACCACCATCCTAATCTCTAGTATTCTGAATTGGTAATTTGAATATAATTGAGTTAGATACCTTCTTTTCTGATAAAGAGAACATTCTAGTTCTAAATAGAAGCACAGGGCTTTGTTTAGCTAAAGAAATTAAAGTGTGGCCATAGGAGTGTCAGGCGTTAACTAGTGCAGAATCCAGAGGTTGGGGCAGAGATTATACACAATTTTTGTTTTGAGATACAGGCTCCTTCCCAGGAAACCACATCACATGGGCAGCCATCTTCTCTTGAGCTAAAGCTCTTTTGTTGTTGTTGAGACAGAGTCTTGCTCTCTCAGCCTGGCTAGAGTGCAGTGGTGTCATCATAGCTCACTTCAACCTCAAACTCCTGGGCTAAAGGTATCCACCTGCCTCAGCCTCCCAAGTAGCTGGGACTACAGGTGTGCATTACCACGTCTGGTTAATTTTTCTGGTTTTTGTAGAGACGAGGAGCAGTGGTGGTCTCATTCTTGCTCAAGCTGGTCTGGAACTCCTGAGCTCAATCCATCCTCCTGCCTTGGCCTTCCAGAGTGCTCAAATTACAGGCATGAGCAACGCTGCCTGGCCCTAAAGCACTTTTTGAGTTGACTCTGAGTTTATATTTTAACCTACTCCAGGCAGTCTCTTTCTCATAATCAAATACGGTTTTCAAAGACAGTGAAGTTTAGCAAACAAAACCCATACTAGACAAAAGAAGTGGGAAATACCAGAAGCAACCCTAAACCAAGACGTCTCCCTGGGAATCAGGTCTCCTACTACAGTAGTAACTCTGATGGTATCATGGCAGACTGCCTGCGTCACCAGAGTAGGGGCAGAAGGGTGAGGTTTTCTGACCTATTTGATCCCTCAGTGACCCCTTTTGCTCTGATAGAAGCTTTAGATAAGAATCTTTGTAGGTTAAGCCAGGTGTAGTACCTGTAGTCCCAGCTACTGGGAAGGCTGAGGCAGGAGGAGACCTTCAGCCCAAAGTTCGTAGTTGAGAGCCCCCTTCCAATCCCCCATCACTATTTAAAAAAAAATAAAAGAGTCATTGTAGGTGGGATGATGTGTGCTTGTGCATATCCTGTATATTATCCTATTTCCAGCTTTCGAGCATATGGATGAGGATTTGAACAATGTCTTAAAGCAGAACTGTATTATCACGAGAAAAGCTTCCTAGTTGACAAACTTTCATACAGAGTCAAACTTCTTTCTAGTGGCAGAAAGTATATAAATTATCAGTGACTTGGGATCATGGTGAATTTGCCTGAAACAGATCTAAGGAGTTAAGTTACTTCAGAGCTCACTTGTTTCAAATAGCTCATATATTCCCGAGCCGTAAATCACTCTTACTGGGACTGAAGACATGCTTAAAGTCAGAATGTGATGGTAATGATTCACTCTAGGATTTCATTTCAAGCCACAGGAACTAAAAATGCAAGTACAGTTCCCAATGTGAAACACAACCTGTGATCTCAATCCATTTAACTTCCTCAAATTGCTGTGTTACTCAAAACAGCCTATTTCTTCATTGAGCACAGAAGAATTTCATCTGTGTGAATGTCATCATCCGACCCAATGATAGTCTAGGCTCTCCTCGCCACCTATGTGTTCTCTTTCAAGGAAAGGCCATTGAGCAAGCCTACGTGGTCTAGTTAAGAGCATGTGCTTTGGAATCAGATTACCTGTGTTTCAATCTACCAGCATAGCGTGGTAGGGTGTACCTTTGGATGGATCTCTTAACCTTCCTTCCTAAAGTACACTTTCCCTACCTGTGAAATGGAATAATAATATTGACATCATAGTATTAGCAATAGCATAGGGTCTGGTATAAAGGGAGTGGCCAATAAATATTAGTGCTTGTTTGAGGAGGCAATGGCATAATGGTTAAGAGCAGGATTTTATCTTTCTTTTTTTTTCTTTTTTTTTGAGACAGAGTCTCACTTTGTTGCCCAGGCTAGAGTGAGTGCCATGGCATCAGTCTAGCTCATAGCAACCTCATACTCCTGGGCTCAAGCAATCCTACTGCCTCAGCCTCCAGAGTAGCTGGGATGACAGGCATGCGCCACCATGCCCGGCTAATTTTTAATTTTTTCTATATATATTAGTTGGCCAACTAATTTCTTTCTATTTATAGTAGAGACAGGGTCTCACTCTTGCTCAGGCTGGTTTTGAACTCCTTACCTTGAGCAATGCGCCCGCCTTGGCCTCCCAGAGTGCTAGGATTACAGGCATGAGCCATCACGCCCGGCCAAGAGCAGAATTTTAAAGCCAAATTGTCTCCAGTGATAAGCACACCACGAAAAATAAAAAAAAATAAAAAAAATAAAAAAATAAAGCCAAATTGTCTGGTTTGAATTCCAGCTCTGCCACTAATTACCTGAATAAATTGGAAAAGTTAATCTCTATCATAGTTTTGGTTTCCTCGTTTATGAAATGGGGATAGTTGGTTGTTGGAAGGATCAAATGAGTTAACACATGGAAGAGCTTAGCATGGTAACTGGCACACAGCAAGCCTGGACTGAATGTTAGGTAATAGCATTACACAGGAATTGAGACACAGGACTCCTGTTGGGATGTACAGGGATGGGCCAAGAATCTGATCTCAGGTGGAATCAGATTAACATTATTCTCCTTAACCTCATTACCTGGGTAACACTGGCTAATTTATCAGAGAGGTACTTGAAAAGGAGTCCAAGGGAGCTGGAACAACCTGCTACCAGGTGTGCTCATCAGATGTCCAGGTGTTGACCTAAAGGAAGAAGCTGAGGCAAAATTGATAAAGAGAGTTTATTTGGGCCAAGGCTGAGAACAGCTGCCTGGGAAACACTGGGAATTATTCCTCCTCTGCTCTGGAGAGCAAAGGAGAGGCTCAAATTTTTAAAGAAAAAGGACGAATCAGGAGAGGGGGTGATTAGAAAAGTTGTTCATGAGAAATGCTCATTGGTTGACAGAAATAACATTGACTAGTGATTGGCTACACATTGTTGCACTATAGGGTATGAGTTACAGTGTCCTGCATAGGGCAGTTTATGGCTGCTTGGCATCAGTCTAGAGCTGCCATATAAGTGGCCTTAAGAGGTAATTATTTAGCTCAAGGAGGAAGTGAGACATGACTTCTGTCACATTATAAATGCCTCTCTGGGCCTGATAATTTGAAGGGGCCCACATTCTTCAGATAAAAAGTGTTTTTTCTTTGTTTCTTTTAGGGCACTGGAGGAGAGTATAAATGAGGCCCAGCTACCACCATATTTTAAATACTTAAAAGTTATCCATCTAGCTAAACAACTGTTAAATAATGCTTTTTAATTTTCTATCCTCCTATCTTGACAAATACACCTTCACAGCAACCTAGAAGTTCAGGTTCAAATATAGAATTCCTAGAGTTTCATGCCAGGGGTTAGTGGTCCAGGGAGAGCCAGGCCCTGGGCCTTGGCCTCCAGCTACTTCCCGTGCCCACCTTCTTCCTGGACGTAGCCCCAGTGTCCAGGGTCCAACCCCAGCTCCCGCCCCACACGCATACACATGGTGCAGGGTGGCGCCTGGCAATCTCCAGGGAAGTACCAAGCTGGGGCTCTAGAAGATGGACTAGGCTCTTTGGACAAAAATTTCCAGACTCTTAGAATTTGAACAAGTTCAGAACTTTTTCTGAAGGGAGAGTTATGGACTAAATTTTTAATGTTCCCCCCTAAATTGCCTATGTAGAACCTCCA